ATTTAGTGAAGAGAACAAAGGACACCCGACTCCATGCCCATCTTTTCGACTCAACGGTACTTCCTGCTCTAACGTATGCGTCAGAAACCTGGTCGCTGCGTAAGCAGGATGAAAGGTCACTCAGCGCTATCGAACGAGCAGTCGAAGGAACGTTGCTAGGAGTATCCCGTTCCACACAGGTAAGGGATGGGATCCGAAGCTCTTATCTGCGTCAACGATCGAAAATCAAAGACGTCGTTCTGTACGTCAAACAGTCGAAGATAAGATGGGCTGGTCATGTAATGCGTATGAATGACAACCGATGGACAAGAGCCGTTAGTGACTGGATTCCTCAGAATGTCATACCTACTGCAGGAAAACCACTGACCCGATGGTGAAAGTTCTTCACGAAGAGCCTCGGAGAAAGATATTATACTCAACGAATTTCTAGAGCGAACAAAACCCACTGCGCTACTCTTGCACGCGACAGGCAAAAATGGGAGATTTACTGGCTCCCGCTCTAGTCACTTGACGACCAAAGGGTCTACAAATAATACAGGTGAGGTGAATTCCTAAATAAGTTTATGCGTTAGTCAATGTCTTAGCGTTTCAAACCAATAATTCGAGAAGACTGACAAGTAATTTGAAATGGTCGTGCAACTACCTATATATAAACATTGAAGAATTCCAAAAAACCTTCATTTGAGAATTCTCTTGCCGATTACTCATACGACTACGTGGCGCATCACCAGAGGAAGTATAGACGGTTAAGCGTAAACGACGAGTCATTGTATACTTGTCCGACAAGGCCTGTTAAGGGTACCGGTTCACTATTTTTGTCGCTTCGGATTAAGCTAAACTGCTTTGTGCTCGTGGTTGCACGTGGTGATACTTATAGATAAATGTGGATGGCCCCATTTTGCACAGCGATTCAGCTAACTACAACTAAAATGATGCTGAGATATTTCAATGTTTTTCATCAATAAGCAGACACGAGGTTGTTAATATTAATATATTAACAACCTCGTGTCTGCTTATTGATGAAAAACATTGAATTATCAATTAATGCCGAGGTTAACAGAAAGTCGGTCATGGGAATTACTACGTGGAGATGCTGAGATATTTGAACACTCGGACCCCAAGCCAGGTTAGAATTTCTTTTCACTCTAACGGTACTTCTAAGAGCAATTTGTTAACGAGATTGATGTCATGAAAACAAAATAACAAGTGATAAATAAAGAGTTAAACACTGCCAATTTGACTGCGGCCTCAGCTTAACTGGTGTCAATGCCAAATTGCGGCTCAGATCTTACTGGCTGACGGCTGATTCCTGATGTCACCATTATTTAAGAGACTTGTCGACAGAAAGGCAAATCAATGCTGAGCCTCGATGATCTAGTGGGTAGCACGTGATCCCATGAAAAGGGCAATCGTGGGTCCGAATATAGGGTGTGGTCGGAGTTTTCCAGACATCTCAGCATCAGTGCGGTTGAATTGACATAAAATACTGCCACGGGAAAAATGATAGGTAGTAAACAAAAAGTTAAAATTTGACAAAAAAATTTACTGCCTACTTTTTTTAACGGCAGAGTATATATTGCGAAATATAACTTTAATGATGCTGAGATATTTGCAAAACTCCGGACCGCAGGTGTCTGCGGTGGTGAACGAACGCGCTATTGTCCTCTCCGAGACAGATGAGAGACAGGCGAAACGAAGGACCCGCATGGTGTGGTGGTGGTGAACGCGTTACTCCCCAGAAAGGACAATAGCGCGTTCGTTCCCACCGCAGACACCTACAGTCCGGTGTTTTAAAAATATCTCAGCTTCATTTAAAAAAAGTTAAATATTGTGGCCCAGCTAAAATTGGTTCAGTGAGGTGACCAATATGGCAGGCGATAGGCGATCTACGGTTTCTTCCAATGAATAAGCCGCGTTTCTAGTTAGGGCAAACTCAGCAATGTACTAGTGATCACATCCGGCCTCTCATAGTACAGCCCACGAGCTACTCATGCAAGCAAAACCCACTGAAGAACTCTAATGGGTAACTGAGAAGAAAGTCTTTGTTTGTGCTTGGTCGATTCATTCACGGTTGATTACCTAATACATGTGATCACATAGTTTAATACTATATAATGAACACTATGAAGAAATGTCAGAGGAGAGAGCTATCACCAGTGTTTCATATCAAATTCGACTTCGTTTCGGCAAACTTTCTACTAGGTGAAAAAGAAGGAGTATAAACATTTTTAAAAATATTCATGATATTTTTATGAAAAGAGATTTGGTCAGAGTGTAATGACAGAGGTGATAAAAGAAGTAAAACATGAATGATGAGTAAAATTAGTTTTAATATCATCTTATACAATGAAAAAATGAACTTTTCTTTTCGAAAATGATTGTAGATGTTAGAGCAGCGTATGAGGGACATGCGAGGAACATGCGCATTATAGCGCAAACACGTTAGAATCTCACAACTGGATTTTCTTTACATCATCTACTAGCAATTTAGAACTCGAATTATTACATAACACTTAAAATGATTCCGCAAATATGACATATTAAACACATATCACGTAAATATATGCGATAAAGAAAGAAATATATCGACTAGCACGTAATAATCACGGGAACTCGTTCAGTTAGGCTTGCCACTGTGGTATTAATGACGGATTATAGATTTGATGATAGAATGGACTGTAGAATAGATTTGGAACGGCTATTGTATTCGGCAAAAATGATGGCGTAAGTAGCGGCGATAAGTCTTGTGTAACTTGGGCAATCGGCGCCTGCAAGAGAATTGCTCTTAGATGAAAGAATATTATCAAAAGCTTAGCAAGCATTATTCCTTATTCCTTTTTTTTTAAAAAGTCTCAAACAACCAAGCGATGCTATTCCGATCGCTCTATAGTCTCATAGAAGCTATTTCAGAGTGGATAATGTGAAAGAAAACGAACACGATATCATAGTCGCATAAACAGCAATTCGCAGGTTCAACGCGGTTATCACAGTTTCAAATACAAAATCAGTTTCTCAGTAAGTTTAACCAAATGCTTCTACAAAGCAAAATCGATTTGTTTAGTGCTCTGAACTCCATTTTCCATGATTTGGTGTTTATCTGCATACTATGAAAGATAAAAAATCTTCACATTCACAACTTATGTGATTATTAGGAGACAAACCTTCAATGTTTTTAAGGATACCTTCTTTCACACGATCCGTCATCACATCTACTGTGGGGATCCCAGTACTTCTTGCATCCAATTTCTTTTCCTCCGCATTCATTGTCTACAAAGGTCGTTGAATATTTCGCGTGTTTTTCAGTTGCTATTTGAAGTTTTCTTCTTCTTTAATAATGTCGGTGAATGACGGTCAAGTCGACCCGAGTTGCAATCCTGAGCATAGCCGATCTAGGGCGTTCTCACGTCGACTGGGGGATAGCGTTGCGGAGACGTTCGAACCAGCACACTGCTTCACGATGGAATGCATCGGCGTCTGTCACAGCCAATCACCTGTCACCTATAGTCACCTGTAGTCCCATTGATCGTCGATGGACTCTAGTGGGCGCCAGTAAAACTTCCATTTTTCCCTGTCGAGTGCAAGAGTAGCCCAGTAGATTCTGCTCACTCTAGGGATTCATTGAGCATCATATCTTTCCTCTAGAGTTTTCGTGAAGAACTCTGACTATCAGGTCGACGGTCTTCCCGCAGTACCTTTGAGAACCCGAAAAATCCAGTCACTGACGGCTCTTGTCCATCGGTTGTCGTTGATACACATTACGTGTCTGGCCCACCTTATCATCGACTGTTTGGCGCTTAGAACGGCATTTTTCATTATTGATCGTTGGCGTAGGTCTGAACTTCCGATCTTTTCCCATACTTGCGTGACACGGGACATTCCCAGCATCGTCCTTTCGACCGTGCCTTCAATAACGCTGAACGATCTTTTATCCTGCTTACGCAGTAACCAGGTTTCTGACGCATACGTTAGCGCAGAAAGTACCGCTGAGTCGAAAAGGTGGCAAGATGCCCAGAGCGCTCGTTTCCTTCTGCTCAGCTCTGGAGCTAAGTCGTTCGTCATATTGATTTCACAACCTAGATAGATATAACTGGAGCATTCGGAGATATTCGTGGCGTTAAACGTGAATGGGGCATGCGAAACTAATCCTTCTTAAACATCGTTTTTGTGAGATTTAATCGAAGATCAATCATTCCGCCGGCTTTATCAAAGTCGTCAAGCATATGTTTCGCTTGGCTAATGTTTGGTGTTATAAGGACGATATCATCAGAAAAGCGAAGATAGTGTAATTGCCGACCACTGATTTTCACTCCTATGTTGTCCCATTCCAATGTTCGCATGACGTTCTGGAGAGTGGCGCAAATAATTTTGGCGAGATGGTGCCGCCTTGCCTAAGTCCTCTTTTGACGTCAATGTTAATATCGTTGTAGAATAGTGATATCTTGGTTGTGAAAATTTTGTGCAGCTCACGAAGATTCTTTATGTACTGAGTAGGGACTCTTTCACTATCAAGGGCTTCCATGACTACTTCTATCTCACTATCTAAGATAGAAGCAGTCACGAACAATATGTTGTGTAAAACATTTGTTTAATTTGCCTCTAACTCTTATCAACGTTAAACGAGGCCGAAAAAACTGTTCGGTGTTGACTTATGCCTCATGGAAGCATCATGCACTCCATTTCGCTCGCAGCACCGTAGAGGTGATTGTATATACATATTTCATCTATATAATGATTTAGTCAAGTACAACGATGCATAAAGTCGAGGGTTTTTCCTCTCAGACAAATTTGATAATCCCTGTTGATTGATGGGCTTCGTATGCATAGACCTTGAGAACGAACCAAAAATAACATGCGCAAATCAGGTCACCCTCTAACTACACATACCTATGTACGTATAGGAGATAAACGATAAAGCGTTCGGAGTTGATCAGTCCAAAATGGACGTGCTATTCATCCAACTTCATTAAATATCGCTAGAGGTGACTGAATGTGTATTTGGCCTATACAGTGGACAGCGATTGGGTGCATCGCAGAACACCTCTGTTCTCTGCTCTACACGCGTCAGCTATACATATATATAAATATATATATGTATAAATCTGCATGTATATATATGCTAGATATGATAAGGAATACACAGAAGATATAAAGATGTGGTCGTTAAGGTGATCGATCCCCACCTGTTGCATTCGACCCCATGAGCAGCGTATCGTATTGCCGCCGATTTCCTTCCCATTCATTTCCATGATGGCGTTCGTTGCACATTCTTTACGCTCATATCGAACGAAAGCGTAACCTTGTGCTTTAAATAACCGTACCTCGGTGATTTCACCGTGAACAGAAAACGGTTCTCTGAGGTCATTCTCTGGAAAAAAGAAAACATCACTGGGTGGAAATTTCTTCCCTATTTTGCAGTCTTCGTTGAAGTTATTACTACGTGTCACATATGTAAGAAAATATGAAAGAAGCCATTACGAATATGAAGAAAGCAAAGGTTTAATAAGAATTACATCATAAGTAAATTAGTAAATAGAAATGCTTACCGGTAGTGTTCGGATTCACGTTTCCCACATAAACTGATGTGTTGTCGGGTTTGGTTGAATTGAACACCTTAGTGGACAGAGTTTCGTGCAGCGAATTTAAGACAAAATAATAAAAATGTGACTAAATATCACTTTCAACCAGCAAAAAAGTAGATATCAACAAAAGAAGATCATTGATTGCTGGATTAAAAAAGAATGATAAGACATTCGCCGTTGATAAATGCCTGAGTAGACTTCATTGGTAACGTTGTTGAGGTGATGACACGCCTATCTAGCCTATAGAATGGCTTGAGACAGCTAACCCATGCATCGAGTCAATGCCATTACCCTCTCAGACAAGTATGGTACCCATTTGCCAAACCCTGGAGGGATGGAAATCTTAATGATCACAGGGCGAGTGATCGTACAAATGATCGACCTTGTGTATATTGCATGACATCTCTAACCATTGAACTACACACGCTTAGGTTATTGGATCAATAGGATTTTATTAGATATGTTTTATCTAACATTTATTTCTCGAAAATATTGAATAATTGGATCTACTACTTGCTCATATTCATGCACAAATCAAGCACAAGGGTGTCTTTACATTTTGCACTAAGATTCGGTGGGATTAAAGATTTCATTCAGCTCCCTTTATGAGAAAATACGAGAAAGACTGAGCTCTCTGAGAAATCATGCCTCTTTAGAAAAGAGCTTTCTGTTGCTTTCGGGGCCAAATGATTGCTGTGTACGAGCAGAAATAGATTCATGGTGCGTTCAACTTTTCGTGAACTGTGACGGCCATTCGAGACAAGTGACTCAAGTGTGATTTACTTTCAGACCTGTTCAAATGTGAGCTTCTCTCTGGTTTCATCGGGTGGCCTTCGTGTTGCCCAATTTGTTCGAATAGCTCGTCGACCTAACCAATGTCCATTCATGGCAGTTATGGCTTTTTCAGCGTTCTAGAATGTTCATAGATAAACTTGTACTGCGGAATAATAGTGTAATATGACAATATAAACATTTTTTCTTTTGTAAGATTTTACTACTCACTTCTTTCACTGGATAAGAAACAAATCCATATCCTTTCGACTTTTGCGTTTGTGAATCACGAATTACTTTGGCCTCACTGAAAGTTGTTACTGCGCATTTATTATAAGGTGTATACAAGAAATTATGAAGCATATAGTATTCATAGCTGATATCATTTGTCCACACGATGGTGTACGATATCATCATAGCTGCGAGCATTCTTGGTATTGAATTGCGCTGTCCATAATGGGTTTTATCTTCCATCAAGGTCACCAAAGGAAAAAAAACAGGAAATTGCCATTCTCAGGCCAAATAAGGGTAAACGTAAGCCCACGAATCTGGAGCTTCCGAGAATACCTTATGTCTGAGAAGCGAACTCTCCAAACTATGATGGATCGTTTCAACATAGCAATCTCGACATTCCATGCAAATAATTATTGCGCGATTCGTGTACGTAAGCAATCCAAACAGGTAAGTATTATGATTTTATTATCAATGACATTTTGTAGCAATCATCTTTAGCAGGGATGAATGCCCGGAGGTTATACGCGACCTGATCCCGTATGTTCGCATCGATTTTTGATGTGGGATGGTGCAGTCGTCAACCACATGCGACTATAATCAGCTGTTCTAAACTTCCTCATTGGAAGTCACGAAAAAGCGGTGGGTTTTTGATCAGTTGTTGATCATGTAATTACCAAGGAGTTTTTCGTCTTTTTGTAAGTGTTATTGAAGCGTTTGGCCTAGTAGATTGTATATCAGTATACCCTTCCAGGCTCTGAAGAAGGCGATACCGCCGAAACGTCAGCTAGCGTTGTATCGGATTGTGTTTTTATGGAAGTAAATGTATGCTGTTTAAAAACCTCGCGATTGCTGAACAAGAAAACGACGCAATCTTCTTTAATACTAGAATGATTCATAGCCTTAGGAAAGCCCGATCGTAAAGAGTTTATGCTAAATATGTAGGTTTGAAATAATTTCGATTCAATATTGACAATCAAATATCCTCTCGAAAAGCGTGAATTTCGTCTTCATCCCTATTCATAAACCTCATCGGGACAAATTGCGCAGTGTGATTTCAGTAAAGCTTTTTATTTTGAAAGTTTTCAAATGAACGTATTAACAACGGAAATCACAGCGTCTTTAACACATTGAGTTAAATGTTAATACCCTAAATTTTCGCAACGAAGGTGGTCCTTCGAAAATTGACGATCACTGGAGTATTTCAGGAGTTCGGATCTTTGTAGACATATAGAAGAGATGCTGGCCTATCACATTAATCTCATGCATAGTTCTTTAAAGCATTCAAATTTTGTGTTTTCAGAATCAAGCCTGCCAAAAAATTGATTCTAGTATTTAAAGTTTCAACGCCTTCAATTGAAAAACAGCTGCTTCAAACATAATCCGTACAATGGGAACACGATCGTGTCCTTTCGGATAAAATTCCGCTTGTTCATTTGCTTTAGTAGTAGAAATACTAGCCATGAAGCTAAAAAGTTGAAAAAACATATGTCATGAGCTCCAGGAGATCAGAATTGTGCTTTCATAGAATAAAAAATCTCTTATCCTGCAGAATAAGATTGTGTCTTCTAGTAGTTTCTATGGCAATTGATTAAATTCAAAAAGCGCTAAAATATGTTGCTTTAAAATTAGAAGCAGCCATTATTTACGCCTGCGTGGCTCCCACAGAGGTCACACTTTCGCGTAAATTTTAAATGAATATAAACGAAAAGACTTTCCTTAAAGAATCTTATACGACACAGGTAAGTTTGAAGGTAGTTTGACAAAAGCCTTTAAGTCAGATTTTACTGAGTGATTATTTGGGAATGGAAATACAGGTTTTCCACACAGTAGTTCACTGTAATTCTTCGTATTTTTGTTGAGCAAACGCGAGGTGTTATTATTCTTTATTCACAAATGAGCTGACGTTTCGGCGGA